CCGATGTTCCGGGAAATCGCCCGGGTCTGCAGTCCCCGAACGCCGACTGCGTCTCTGCCTGTTTGCATTGTGGCAGCCGGAGTGTCCCCCGGAGGACAGGCTCCTCGTGGAGGCCGGGGCCCTGAGAGCCGCTTCCTTCGCGGCGGGGCTGCGATGAGCCCTACATCCCTCGGTGGCTCTTGCCGTCCACCGGCCTGCTGTTCCCGAGGGAAGAACGCGGTACCCAGCCCTCGCGTGTGTTCCGCGTCTCCTGGGCCAAGACCCAGCAGGCAGTGTTCGTGGCATGCAGCTGATTCTGCTTAATCGTTTGACCCCTTCGTCCTCCCCCGCTTACATTACTCCCAACGATTTATTTTTTTATTTTTTTTTTGTCATTTTGAGACAGGGTCTCGCTGTGCGATTCAGGCTGGCCTTGAGCTCACTTTGTAGCGGAGGCTGGTCTCGAACTCGCAACGATCCTCCTGCCTTAACCTCCCATGTGCTGGGATTACAGGCGTGCGCCACCTCGCCCGGCTCCCAACGATTGTTTTAAAGGAAATTTTCAGCAGTTACGTAGCGTAATGAAAAGCCTACTGTGTTAGGTGCTTCGATACGTAATTCCAAAATCCGAGGTCTGCATGACAGCTTTGCAGGTAGACTTAGAGAAGTCCCGCTGACTTGCCCAGGGCTGCACAGGCGGAAGCGGGCAGAGCCAGTCCGCAGACAGTGCAGCACTCAAGCTGATGATGACGCCTCCTACTTAATGGTGGGGTGCAGGTGCTGGGCCCTCGGTCAGGAGGTAGCCCCAGCAGTCCAATAGGAGAAAAGTAAAAGTATGAGAATAATATGTGTAAGAAAGATCATGGTAAAGTTGTGTTAACTGCTTTGGTAACACAGAAGTGCATTCTATAGAGGAAATTCAAGAAAGTATCAAGGGATGGATGGTTTCTGAGCTAGACTTGCAAAGTAAGGAATGTTTCAAGGGAAAAGCTTGTGAGAATGGTTCTGCGCACAGGGTGTGGTGGCCACAGGCCCGAGAGTGAGCTCTGGACCCTGCAGAGAGAGCTAAAACAAAGGCGGTAGGGCTGGACTGTGGAGAGACCGCCCTGGACAGCCCCGGGTGTTAGTTTTTCTCCACATGGAGTAACCAGGGGACCTGGTTGGAGTTCTTTGGGGCAGCACTGTGGAGGATGGACAGTGAGGGAGGAAGGGGAGAGAACTGGCATTTTCATTAAGCAGACATTTATGGAGTTGTGGCTTCGTACCTGAACCAACCACTGGGGTACTGGGGCATCCTAACGTCATTTTCTCAAGAGCTTAGAATTCACAGGAGGGCAGGCAGGTGTGCAGAGGAGTAGGAATAGGTAGTCAGTGCTACATTAGAAGCACCCGGTGGGCGTGGGGAGCGTAGAGGTTACTGTCCTGGGGTGCTGGGAGAGAAGCATAGGGGTGCTGCGGGGCAGGTTAGTCTGCTGTTGACTTCAGGGAGAGGTGATGATGGCCTGAATTAAATAACAGGACAAGATTGGGCAGCATTTGTGTGATAGAGTTGACAAGCTTTAACACACTCCTGCTGGCTTGAGTCACCAGAGGTAGTGCATGACTGACCTACACCCAACAGCAAGACAGACAAATTACACCACTTATTAGTGACTTCTCTGGCTATGCAGGTGAAAGATTGACTTCTCGGTTTCTAACTTGGCAGATGGGGTGGAGGGAGTAGCCTTTAGCCCAGAGGACTACAGGTGAATAAAAATGACTATAGGTAGGGCTGGGGCAGTGAGGTGTTGGATTACAGCTTGAAAGTCCTCTAGGCAGAATAGCTCAGCAGGTGGCAGGAAAAATAGGCCAGGAGCTTAGGAGTACAAATTTGATTTTTCTGTTTGCTAATGACAGTGTACTTAGTAATCCCCTCAAGTACATGGTGGTTTTGCTGATTTCTTTTGTCCTAGGAAGTTGGTTCATTTCCTTACTGACGTTGGACACAGTCAAAACAACTGACAGATTAGCTGTGAAACTGAATTTAACTACAGTGCCTTTTTCCTAATTGGTGAAGCTCAGAAAGCTGGTGATGATCTTTGGTATTTTTAAATCTCTGGCTCTGTCTAGGTGTAGCACATTAGTAAAATGATTATATCTTGCTCTCAGTAGGACTTAGATAATTCTGTATTACGTGCAGAATGTAATGAGTGTTTTATTATGAGATGGAGAGGTAGAATTCTGCCTTATTGCATATTTCCTCAATTTTGTGGATTAGTGTAGACATCCTGCAATTTTAAGGATTTAGTTTTCTGAGCAATAAAGTTCTGGGTAAGCTTAAAAACTTACTTACAACTTTGAATATTGTTACAGTATGTAAATACATGTTAGGTGTTAAATAGGTAGATTCTGTGGGCAGTTAGTTGAGCTGTCCCAAAATGTAGGATGTACCTCCAAGGGCCCCCTCTCATCTGAGTTGCTCCCCTGATTCATAATAAGCTAGTAACAGTGTTATATGTAAGCAGGCTTTCCTTATTTGAACTGAAAATTACAATTTAAGATAATGTTCAGCAGTTCTTATGCACACCCAAGTTTGACAGCCACTGAATTACACTGTAAACCTGATAATTACTTTAAAATAAAAAGATAAAATGTTGCAAAGAGGACAAATTGATTGTCCTTTGATATGTCATCTAAAGACAGTGTTGATGTGGACGGCAATTTCTCTTGGTTACCACACTGTTCTCTTTCTGGTTATCTTTGTTCACTGCAGCTCATTCTCAGTTTTGGACCAAGTCCCTGTGTCACTCCTCTAAACATCTGTCTTTCTGACCTCTCTGCAGTCTCCCCAGGGGACCTGCTCTGCAGTTGCCTGTGGTGTAGCATATGCTGATGACTCCTCCATTTGTCTGTGCACTACACCCCCGCCAGCTGCTGGGGTGAAGAGGCTGTGCTTTGAGGCACCTCTAGGCCTGCTAAGCCGTGGATTGCTGCACCCACCCTGATGCTCTGGTTCTGTAGTGCTGGGTTGGAGCAGCAGTGTGCATTTCCAGCAAGTGACCGGGTGGTGTTGGGGCTGCCAATGTGGGGCCTTGAATGTGACACAGGCACTTCAAAAGGAGAAAGCCGCGTCTAGTGGTAGGAGGGGAAGCAGTGAAGGTGTCTGTACTGTCAATAAATGTGAATAGAGGTGGGTTAGAGGGGGGAAGATTATGCCCGATACTTTCCTTATTAAAAAATTCATTTTAGTGACCTACATGAACATTATGAGCAGGCTTCAACCTGCAGATGTAATTGGTGACTTCTGTTAAATGTGTTTTTCTTTCGTTCTAGCCTAAAAACTGGTTTTTTAAAATGGAAGCCGGACTATGACAGTGCCGCTTCAGAATACGGGAAAGCAGGTATTTGTGACTATAATCCTTTTGTTGCAGTGTGTAACCCCAGAACAGTCTGATAGTTTTCCCTCTTAAGATGCTTCTGCTTACTGTTTCCTACAAGGCTTTAATAGTTAAAAAACAAAATAGAGCAACTGCTTTAGCTTTTGCATTATTTTCGGAGGTTTGGTGAAGACAGCTCTTAGGAAGCTTCTCAGAATTTTTAAGATTTATTTTAGAGCCACTCCGCATTGTTTTGCTCTATTGATTACACTTTTTAAGCTTCTGGCAATATACTTCAGTCTCAACAGTGAGATGCCTTTTTGTAGATACTCAAGAGGTGTAAGACCTTTGGTTTTTTGTTCATCTTTTTTTTGGTTTTTGGCAGTACTAGGGATGGAACCCAGGGCCCACTCTCCCACTGAGCTATCCCCAGGTCCCCAGCCCCATAATTTCCTCTTCCGTTGGTTTGTTCTGTTTTCTTTTTTGAACCAAGGTCTTGCTGTGTGGTCCGTGCTGGCCTTGCACTTGCAGCAATCTTGCCTCAGTATCTCAAGTGCTAGGATTATAGGCATTTCCACCATGTCTGGCAAAAGCTTTGTTTTTTGAGATGCATTGCTAGACATTTTTTTTAACCTGCCAAGAGGGAAGGTCTATTATAAAATTAAGTGTATCTTCAGTTCCCATATGATCTAATGAGCTACGAGGAAAGCACTGTTTCTGTTGTGAAGTGCAGAGCTGCTGAAATGGGCTGCTGTCTTTTGTGACTGAACGCCGTGCCTAACACTTGGGAACACTGGGAGTGCTGGCCTGTGAATTCCTGGTTTTGAGTGGAAATAGCACTGCTACGTTGCCAAAAAAACAAAATAAAAAACCATTGAAAATACTTCTGAAGTACTGATACTCAGAAGAGTTGTAAGGGAATTCCTTTAGGAGAAAGAAGTATTTTATAGTTTTATGAAACTTCCCAGGTACTTGAAATCACTAGTATACTTTGTGATACTTCATGTAAAATGCAGATTTCAGTAATTGTTCATCTGAGATTTTTTAATGATAGAAATAGTTGGTATGTAGATGGATGTATTTATTTTGTTGTTGTTTTGTTTCAGCTGTTGCTTTTAAAAATGCCAAACAATTTGAACAAGCAAAAGATGCCTGCCTGAGGGAAGCTGTGGCCCATGAAAATAACAGGGCGTATCTTTTTCAGCCTCTAAAACAGAATTTGAATAAACTCACTCAAACTTAACAGACACTTATTTTCTCTTATTGTACATGTGTTGCATGTGAAATAAAATACTTTTAAATTAGAGAGTGGTTAGAAAAATGATGTATTTTTAAGTTCTGAAGGAATATGTGTCGTGGTTGATCATAAATCCACAGTGGTTTACAGAGCTGCATTTGAGAGTGTATTTTCTATTATAGTTTCTGGTTTTGCTTGACAGTGGTTTTACTTGGGGTAAAGGGATACAAGCCGAAGAATGAATTTATAGGACATGTATTGAAAATGTATACACTTACGTACACTTTTTAAAAAATAGAGCCTTCCTTGAAAAGAAGATCTAAGTAGTTTTGAAAAGATTTCCTGAGGTATCTTAAAACTTAGCAATTAGGGCTGGGGATTTAGCTCAGCAGCACAGCGCCTGCCTGGCAAGCACAAGGTCGTGAGTTCGATTCTCGGTACCGGAAAACAAACAAACAAACAAAAAAAACTTATCAATTAAAAGTGTTTATTTTGCCTTATTTGCAAATTATAGTCATAATAATCTTGCATTTTAGTAAAACTGGTCAGATTAATACATGATAGAGTTTAAAGTTTTGTGATATTGTGTCAGTGTCCTATGAATTTTATGGTCTTAGGAGACTTCAGTAGGTATTGAATTATTATTATTATTTTTTTTTCCCTGTTTGTAGGATATGTCTTTTGGGACCAGTTGGGTCAGTGATTTGGTTAACTGTCTTTATATAGCAGCTCTTTAGAAACTACTGATTTCCTTTTTTCTCCTTAATTTTGACATTGTTGCGTCCATTCAGTCTTTTTCATGCTGCCAAGTAAGTAACACTCCATGTTTTCATTTATTTGCAGATTATGTTTTAAAAGTTAGTTAATAGGATGTTAAAATTTTTCCAAGTTATAAATTTGAACATAATAAATTATTTTGTATTAGTGTAAATAAAAGTTATTGTCTTAGTTACCTTTTTTTGCTGGGACCAAATACCTGACACCCACAAGATAAAGGAGGAGAGGTTTATTTTAGCTCCATTTGTAGAAATTTCAGTCCATAGCTGGCAAACTTCAAGGCAGGTTTGCATAGCAGAGGGGCATTGCAGAGAAAAAACAGTCCATGGTGGGGCAGGCAGGAAGCAGCAGCAGCTGCCAGCCTTCCATTCTCTTTTATTCCATTCAGCCTATACACCAACTGGTTGGTGCTACCCACCTCCAAGGTGGGCCTTCCCATTATTCACATCCAGAATTATACTAAACCAATCAGTGGAGCCATGTAATTTTGACACAGATCCAGCCACCTGGGAATAGCTCCACCGTGAGCAAATGAGGCTTTGGGGAACATCAAGTTATAAACTGTGACCGTTATTTTCATGTGCTTTGGTCTTTAACTGAATCTTAAAGACTACGTCACACCTAATTGTAAGATACATGTTTCAGTTAAATTCAGCATAGTATATTCTGGACTATTTTGTTCAGTAGCCTGAAGAAATTAGTGAGTCAGAATCCTTTCTTCCCCTTTCATGTTAGTTAATAGTGCTTGTGGGAGAGTAAGAGGCTTCCTGCCTTGGTGGAAGTTTTTGTTTTAAAACTTAGATTTAAGTCTGTCAAATTAAGCTTAACATTGTCATTAACTTTTCAGAGCCTTACTTAATTTTATGTCTGCAAATTAAAATGTCTTGAATGCAATGTTTGCTGTTCCTGAGGCATCATTGCCCAGGAAAATAAAAGCTAGCACAGTTGTTGTGCCGTGATACAAGCCTGAAGTGGTATGTTGTGGCCAACTGCTTTCACTGGAGTCACTTCCCCACAGGCTCTGCACTCCCTTAAGTCATTATGGCTCATCAAAGAAATTGTCTTGTCTTTGCAGAGCCTATGAGCAAGCTGGCATGATGCTGAAGGTCAGTTACGTTCTTATTATGTCAAAACTGTTATGTGGGTAAAGTGAAGTAGCTGTAAGGTATTGGAATATAATTTATGTGAAGGTTGAAAAGTTTCCTTACAGTAAAACAAGAGATGGATGCTATGTTAAGATCTGCTGTCTAGGACAATGCTGAGTGCACACATAGGGTACGTGCTTTTTGTCTTTAGGTCGGGAGTGTTAAAAGTGAAATGTGGGAGAAACGGGTTGGAGGGCACTGGGAACTGCAAGGTTCCAAGCTGTATAGTCCGGACAGATGTGCGTTGCTAGGAAAAGAGAACTGTATGTGAGCTTTCCCTGCATTAGAGAACTTAAGGGTATCTTAAGACAGTAAAAACTTTATACATGTGTTTCGGTTATTTGTGGGTTGTAGACAGGAGGTTTTTATGGATTTTAGAAATAGGTTTTTGCTTATTTTATAAATATCATTTGGCAGCAAAGAGAATCAGAGACTTCTGCTATTGCTACTTTACCTAATTCTTGAATGGACTATTTTGACGAAGGTATCATATTTCTGCTTCTTAAAAGCAGGCTAGGAATTAATGTCCTGTTGCGGTAACCTAGAACATACTCCTGTACGACAGTGATTCTTAAGGTATACCAGGTGGCAATTAAAATGAAATATTTTCCTTTCCACTTTTATATGTGCTTTCTGATGTGGTACAAGTTATTTGAATTATTTAAAGTTCCTAAGGCTTTGTTTTAAAAACTTAAGCTTTAGTAAATTTTTTGTTTTCTGTAACTGGTTTTTTGAGACAGGATCTCACTGTGTAGCCCAGGCTGGGCTTGAACTCACCATTCTTAGCCTCCTGAGGGCTTGAATTACAGGCGTGTGCCATCAAGTCCAGCTTTCTGTGACTTTTATAGTGTTAACTGATCTTTTGCAGTGAATGCATGCTCATTGTAGAACATTTACAAAAACACTGGAGAGAATAAAGAATGTCAATAATAGCTATTAACATACTCAGTTTAAAATTTTCATAGCCTTTAACACAGCAATTCAATTCTGTGAATCTGTCATAAAGAAATAACAAATATTTGTATATAAGCATGTTTATTGAAAAAACAGCAATAATCTAATTTTTTTAATAGAATTTTAAAAATTTAATACTCCTGATGAATTCTCTTTACATCGAAATAGGCTTTTCTGGCTGAACATGCAGCTGAGTTGACATTAAGTGGCACAAGTTAGGTTACTAGCAGTAGAGAAGCCAGAATGTGTTCTGATCTGTTTCCCCTGGGAACTAGGAAGCTCCTAGGTGGCTTTTATCATCTCATTGCACCTCGTGTCTGTTTTTAGGATGTCCAGTGCAGGAACATGGTAGTTCCCACTGCCTCCATTTGTATTCCAACAGCTGTGCTAAAGTGATCCAAGCATCCCTTCTGTTGCTCAAGTACCTGTTTAATTTGAGGGTTGGAAAGGCATTACTCTTGAGTGAAAGAAAGCTTAATGGCTGGAGAAACAAGAAAGAAAATACTTTCTGCACATCTCGTATTGAAATTAAATGCCTTTGGACAGTTCGAGTGGTATCAGGAGACCTGAGCAGTGATGTCCACAGTTCATTCTGTGGGCTGATTTCCACCGTGTCCTATGGAGCTTCTCATTTACTGTGCAGCAGGGGTGAAGGAGTGGCAGCTTGGAGACCAGGCCCAAGGGAAGGCGCTGATGCTGTCACCTGTGACTTGGGATTTCCTGTCCTGTTTGTCTCATAGGAACAGTATGGTACCATGGCACACAAGCCATGGAAGATAAGTCACTTGACAGTGAATGGTACTGCTTTTAAGTAGGCAGCCTGGCATTTTTTCTGAGAAGCATCAGTGTTGTGGTTGGACTTTGGTCACTCACGGGCTTCCTTGGCTTAAAGCAAAGTAGGAGGTGTACAGTTGTTAATCTTTAAACCTAGGTCTCAGCTGACACTTCTTCATTCCACCTCTGCTGCAGTCACTGGTCTGGATGCCCTGTGTTCGTGTTCTTTTATACTAGATGCTTTTATGTTGGAGGTGCTCAGTATATATTTAATAGATGGATTGGTGAATAATGGGAAGGAATAATCTGTAAAAGTGAAAATGACCCCCAGGACTACAGTTTTCCCAAATAGCCTTCAATATGTGCCAATCCAAAGACTTGGATTCTCTTACTGAACTTTGTTTTCTAGAACAAAAGAACGTTTTTATTGAAGTTTGGGAATATAATGTATTCCACTTGAGTAATCATTGGTAGCAGGCTTATTTCATGTAGTGTCTTTCAGGATGTCCTAATATTGGTCTCTATAACTGAATAATAGACAAGTTATATTTTAGAATTGGCAAGAATGAGACCAGCAGTTTTGCTAGAGACATCTCCATGTTCGTCAGCTCAGTGACAGGCCAAACAGGCCAATTTGACAATAGTCCATGAGCTGTCAGTGTACCTACCTGCTTTACCACACGCAAGTCACCCCTAACTGGATACCTCCTGTAAACTTTATATGAGCTTCTAAATGATTTTCACTTTCAGTTTTTGTTTTTTTTTTTTAATTTAATTTGGAGACATTAGGACCAAAAGATCTGAGACTCACAGAGCAAGAATAAGAGAGAATTTATTCTGTTGACGACAGCCTGGCCGAGGCTGTGGACTCTGCTGGACCTGGGGTGTAGGGGACACGGAGGTGAACAGGCAGTGGGCAGGGAGGTGCGGAGAAACGCTGCCAGGCCTGTAGGTGGCACCTGCTCCTGACAGGGCCAGCTGCTGCTCAGCCCCACTTCCTTGCTGCCATTGAGGCCATGAGCTGCAGTTGCCAAGGCCTTTGAGTTTTTTTAAAGGAAGCTATAAAACAGAATTTTTGTGAAAGTGTCTGGTTTGAAAACATTGTGAGTCAACCAGAGTGTACTTAGAAATGGAATGCAGCGGTAGGGCTGCTAGTCTGTGGTCCTTGGCATAGGCCTCACGGACAGCAGAGGCTCAGTAAATGTTTGAAGAGCTGTAAATGCCTTAAAAAATAGCTTCTCTGAAAGTCTGAAGGGATGATGAATGGTAGAAAATGACGGGTGCCTTTTCAGTTTAAGTGAAGTTTCCTGTGGAGGATGCCGGGAGGCACCCACGGTAATATGTTGGCTGTCGCAGAATGATGTGTAATATGAAACAGGAGTAAAATAATTGAACTTGCAGTTGTTGACACTGCATTTCTGAAGGTGACCTGTGCTGTGTCCATAGGAGATGCAGAAGCTGCCGGAGGCCGTCCAGCTCATCGAGAAAGCCAGCACTATGTACCTGGAGAACGGCACGCCGGACACGGCCGCCATGGCCCTGGAGCGCGCAGGGAAGTGAGTGCGCGTGGCCCCGAGCAGCGCTGCTTTGTGCAGCCGCGCTCTTCTGACTGTAACATCCTCCAAACAAGTTTCCTATTTCTCACACAAGTCAAATTCTCTTGTCTAATTCAGGCTTATAGAAAATGTAGACCCTGAAAAGGCTGTACAGTTATACCAACAGACAGCTAATGTGTTTGAAGTAAGTTTGAATCTTATTGTTTTTCTTTAATTACTTAGAATATTTAGATTAATAACTTACAGGAAAATAAAGCTGCAGTTTGTGAAGCTTCTCCGTGCTCACAACTGAATGCTCCCTTTTTTCTGTTGGAGAGTAGTGACGTGGACTAGCAGCTCTGGCACTTCCCGATCCAGGGCCATGGCTTCCTTGTAGAGTTATTGTTGAAGGTAAGAAGACTCCACAGTGCGGCGGCCCACACTCCCTTTTCTTTGATTCCTTCAGAATGAGGAGCGCCTCCGGCAGGCAGTTGAATTGCTGGGAAAAGCCTCGCGGCTGCTTGTTCGAGGACGCAGGTGGGTCTTTCACAGCTGTGCTCCAGGGTCTGTGGACTGTGAGTCTGCGTGGGGGAGGGTCAGCGCTTGAGGGCATAGCCTGTTGGTCTTGTTGGCATCAGCCTTAGGCACGGCAGGTCACCCAGGAGAAGACCTGGCATCTAAGTAGTGGGCAGGTGTAATTGAATATCAGGAGGTCTATTTCTAGAGTGCAGTGCCCACATTTACCATGCATCGTTTTTTAGTGGCTCAGGCTCAGCAGATGAAAGCGATCAGTTTTCTTCATTTGTTATTTTAAGTGTTTCTCTCTTGAGAAAAAGCTTGTATATTGGGGTAAAAGACAGAAATGTTTAAAATCCTCGCCCATGAAAATTGAGTTTCTTGACAGTCAAATTGTGTCACTGAACAGGTGTGTACTTCTTTATCCTTGAAATACGTGACTTACAGCACAGACTGTTGGATCCTGGAAAGCTAGACTCCTTTTGGATCTCTTCTGCTTTACCTCAGTTTATGCTTAGTACATAGTTTATATCACCAATAACATTCTGCTTGCCAGTTTCTCAATTAATAATACAGTATTTAAGATAAACACCCTTAGGAGTTTGTAAATTTAGAGACAAATACCTTGTTTGTTTGGTTTTTGAGGCAGGGTCTTGCAGTGCAATTCACCCTGACCTTGAGCTCACTATGTAACCCAAGCTGGCCTTGAACTCAAAGTAATCTTCCTGCCTCAGCTTTCTGAATGCTGAGATTATAGGCATGTGCCACCACACCCAGTTTGGAGACAAATATCTTAATGAAAAGTTGCACATAGCTCCCTGGTGACAGAAAAGACCCCTGATTTATTTTGTCAAGAAAATAGAAATGACTACTGAATCTACCAGTCCCTTTCTGAGACTGCATTAATTTTTTTAAATGAAGATTGTAGATTCTAAAACGTAATTCAAACATGTTTAGAATAACATGAGAGTAAACCTAGAATTAACCTTGGTCATGTTCTCATTTAGATGTAGCACTTTTTATATAAAGACCTTTTCATTGATAAGGTTTTTGTTGGTCTAAATGAAAGAGAAATTTTGTTGTGCTTTTAAATGAAGCCTGTTGTATTAATGCAAACAATTCACTTCATAAGTCAGTCTCGTATCACTACCTTTACTCCTTCTCCTGGCCATTGGTTCCCAGAAACGCCAATGACTGGAACACAGACTCTCCAGAAACCATCCTGTGTGTGGTGGTGGCCCCTAGGCTGCACAGAGTGGCTGACCTGTGAGGTGTCAGCTAGATTCCACCTTGCGAGCTGGCCCCAGCTAGAAACAGGGAAGGTGCCCTCTCCTCTTGTCCGTACAGGGCGGAGTATGGGCCCATCCGGGCCTGTTGTTGCCTCCTTCTCAGAAGAAACCCCAGGACCCTTGCTGTGGGCGCCCTCCGGAGGGAGGACTGAGTTGCATGTGGTGGGATGAAGTAGAAGGCAGGAATAGCCCACTTGGGCTGCGCAGTGGAGGGCTGCCTTTCACATCTTCCCACACTGTAGAGAGCCCGCTTCCCACACTGTAGAGAGCCCGCTCCTCTTCTACGTCTGCAGAAGGGAGGCCAGGTGAGGCAGAGTCCCCACTGCTTCCTGTGCCCTTCCAGCACTGGGGCGGTGCTGCCCTCCTCCTAAAGCCCTCCGCAGTGGGTTTGGACAGTCTTAAAGGACGCAGTGCTGTGTTTCCCTCCCATCATGGAAGTCGTGTGGGCTGCAGGTGCAGAGCCTGGCCTGGCCGTGCTGGGAAGGGAGCCTGTGGATACTTGAGGAATCCTTTTACTAGTATTTTTTTCCTTCTTTTTAGAAAAACTGCATTTTAAAATGAAACTTTTTATAGTGTCTGAACAAAAGTCAGCTTAATGGTATACATTTTAAAATTATTTAACATCATAAAACTTGGTTTGAAGTTAGGAATATGGTGGAATTTGATACTGTAGAATGTGTCCTTTGGTACATGTAGTATGAAAAAATTAAAAGCCTGCTGTCATGGTACTTCTGCTAGGATATTCAGTAGTGCAGGGCAATAAAAAACCCCAGGTTTATCCTGGTGGAGAGATGATCGGACCTGTTCACATGACCCGTGACTGTGCTGAGGTGGTAGTCTGAGTGGAGGCCATTGGTGCCTAAAAGAATTAAAACAGAAGGCAAGCTTCGATGTTCTACAACATCTAGTACAGTGTGGCTTACTGCACTTGGCCTGTATTAACTTGAGACTAGGTTAACTTAACACTTCAGTAGAGCAGAATCAACCAGTCTGCTTCATGTCTCATGGTCTCACGCTCTCCCTCCAGTTAAGTCTCTGAATGTCACGTAGGCAGTGTCTGGGGTGGCCCTTGTCCTTCTCCCCAAGCAGGTAAGGACTGTCCTCTGAGAGAGACCCTTCTCACCCCCCTGTAGGAGCAGGATGGTCCCTAGACCCTCAGTGCAGGGAAGGCAGATGTCCCTGCACAGGAGATCACTGGGCTTCTCTCCACTGTGGGATGAGGCCCCTCTGATTCCATGGTGAGGAGAAGCTCAGTTAGGAATGTGACAAGAGGACGAAATGGTCTTGTAGGTTGTTGAAAACAGACTTTGGAGCTTGAGAAACATCTCAAATGGGGAAAATGCCTGGGTCATCAGTGAGAGATGGAGAGGAACAAAGTCCGAAGTCTGGTCACACTTTCCTGTTTTACACACTTAATTGCTGTGGGTGAGGCTTATGGTCCATTTTACTTGGGTCTAAGTCTTTCTTTTTTTTGTACTGGAAATCGAACTCAGGACCTTGTGCTTGCCAAGCAAGGTACTGTGCCGCTGAGCTATGTCCCTGGTCCACTTGAGTCTAATTCTTTCAGTGACAGGAAGACAAAAATAATTTATTCTCTCCAGCAAAACCAGATATATTTTGTTAGGAAAATTAAGAATTACTTGACGGGAAAGTGAAGATCATCTGTGTTCATTGTACGTTTGAATAATTTCTTGGATTCCTTTCATGGTGGATGCTTTCTGTGCCAGTTCCATGGACGTCAGCAAAGTTGACCAGCGTTTTTGACTGCAGACTCATAAGTGCACAGTGTTTCTTTTGGTGCTTTTGCTAGGTAGTTATAAGCACGTGCAGGCGCTGTTTTTATGCCAGTGAAGTAAGTAATTCATGTTGAAGTGCATAGACTCTTAGCTGAATGTGTTAAAATTTTGCAGGACTGTATTTCTTCTGGAATGGTAGAATCTGGACATTATAGCCACAGAATGTCTCTGCAGTAATTTACCTTGTGAAACAGATCTCGTGCTCACTGATGGGGTAACTGTTCTGTCCACGCTGAGATGAGGCCTGTCTGATTCCATGTGATACAAGTGATACAGATACACGTGTGTCTTGGTTACTTTTTTCTCGCTGCTGGGACAAAATACCTGACGCCCAAAATTAAGGAAGGAAAGGTTTATTTCGCTTACAGTTTGTGGAAGTTTCAGTCCGTACTTGGCAGATTATAAGGCAGAGTGGCACATGGCAGAGAGCTAGCTCTGGACAGCAGAACACAGCTAAGCCGCAAGCACACACCAGGGCGGAATGGCGGAGGAATGTCCTCAAGCACCCTTTTCCTCTCCCTTACATATGCAAACTATCCACCCCAGGGCGGGTGTAGCTCTCATACCCGTAATAATCAAACTCTAAAAGCCTGCCCCGTGGTCGCATGAGGCTTTGGAGGGGACACACAGACATAAACCATAACAACGTGGGACCCCGTGCCTTAATTTTCTGTTTGTGTAACAAATTACCAGAAACACAGCATCTTGAAGCAACAGTCCCTGGTTACCTCATGGTTCTGGGGTCACAATCCTGGGCTCTGCTCGGCCTTGCTAGGACGAGGTCAGAATGTGGGATGGACGGGCTGAGATGGCATCTGAATCTTGAGTCCTCATCCAAGCTTGCTGGGTGGGGGTAGAATATATTTCCTTGCAGTTGTGGACAGAGGTCCCTGGTTTCTCGTGGCTCGTCGGCAGCCTGGATCCATGGTCGGCCCTAGTAGTCCCTCAGTTCCTCAGCCTGTGCCCTACAAGGTTGTTTGCTGTGGCACTAACAGCAAGGAGGGCCCGGGCTCTAAGACAGACCTCGCCAGCACTCCTCCGTGGGAGCTGAACCCAGGAGGGCGCCCCACCCTGTCCAGAGGTCAAGCTCACCCCATCCCAGAGGAGGGTTTCCAGGAGGCAGTTTTGGAATACCACTGCCACACCCAGCCAGTAAGCTGACCTCCCAAAAGTACATCAAGGTGACCTTCAGAACTTGAGAATGAGTTCTGGAAGGCATTCTGGAGTACATCCCAGATGCAGAGATAAGGTGTCTTCCTGCATTCACAACGTGGTTGTTGGACCTGTTAGGTACTCATTGATGGGTGGGCCTTGGCACCGTGCATTCCTGTGCCCTATGCCAGCCTGATGCCCAGGGCTAGGGACAGGCATGGAGCAGAGCAGAGCAGAGGGAAGCATGCATTGTGCCATGATTGGTGAGCAGCATGCTACTCAGTAACCTATTGGTTCCTCTGAAAGTCTTCCAGAGGGACTCAGGCAGATCTGCCTTGTTTACATTTACATTTCTTTGTCGTGTTGTTTTATTTTCAGGTTTGATGAGGCGGCACTCTCTATTCAGAAAGAAAAAAACATTTATAAGGAAATCGAGAATTACCCGACTTGTTATAAGGTATTCTTTGAAAGTGCTCATTTTTAGTTTTACATTAGGTCAATTTTCACGCTGGTATAAATGAATACCTAACCAACGATTCTGTGGGTATTTGTTTCCCTAAATAATAGTATGGGCTTCTGTTTTGTACCGAGATAGAGTGGGCCATTACAGCCTTGTCTGTCTAGCTGATTACAGTACAGTTAGAGCTGTGGAGTAAAATAGAGAGCAACTACCACACACTTGGAAAGTAAGCAAGCCGGCAGACTGGAGGGGCATCAGCACGCATCCACACATGAGGTCAAGGAGAGAGTCTGGGCTTTTATGTCCTGCGGCATTCCCGAGAAGCCTGCGCAGCAGAGGCCACAGCAGTGGCACTCCTAGGAAGCCCGTCCTTGTAGCCAGACAGCCAGGACACAGCCGTTGTGTGCCCTGCCCCTTGGTGTGGCCCCGGGGTTGAGCCTGGTGGGAGCTGCTCTCCATGTGGGGCATCCGGAGGAACTGGGCCGAGGAGCCAGATGTGGGAGAAAGGAGAGGAGAAAGGTGCCCCGAGCAGTGGGGGCGAACCTGTTAGAGCTTCCGGTGGCACAGCCAACCAGCTGCAGCCGTGTGCAGGACCTGTGGGCCTCGGGCTTGTGTGAGAGGGAGACCCAGAGCAAGAGAGCAGTGTCTGAGGAGGAGGTCGGACCCGAGCGCTGTGTTTGGGTAGGGTTTTACCAGTAAGTGCTGCTCTTGCTACCGTCTTTGTTGTCAACCTACACGGTATTGTTTTTGTTCCTAAAGGGTCACGCAGCCCTCCCCTATGTCTTCTTATGAGTTACAAGTACAGTTGTAAAATGTTGGGTCCCCTCCTCTTTCTCTCTTTTCAAGACTGTACAGATATTCTAGCAGAATTCTCTGCAAAGATATAGGGTCCCGTAGGGGCTTGTGGGCGCTGGGACTTGCAGAGCCAGGTCCGGGCGGTTGGAGATGTTCTCTTCCAGGAAGTTTTCTCTCGGGTGTCTTTGGAACTTACTGCTGAGTTTATAAACCTCTATACAAACCAAGGTGGAAAGTTAGATTCCGGATGTTTTGAGTATGCCGGGAGGTCGGCTTTGTGAAAGAGCTGTCCCTTTGGACCAAAATTCTCTGTCTGTTTTAGAAAACCATTGCTCAGGTCCTGGTTCACCTGCACAGAAACGACTATGTGGCTGCGGAAAGGTGTGTCAGAGAGAGCTACAGGTGAGGCACTGCTGGCCGTCTGCACTTGCAGACATTTCGTTCCTTAAACTCAGGTTGCTGCTCAGACAAATCTCTGGCTGTCAAAATTTTTAATAATTTTTCTAAGGATAGAGTACTCAACCCTCATTTTAGTTTAGTTGTTTTCTTCCCTGTGTTTTTCTCCTGAGGGTTTCCATGGGAATGAGTGACTTTAATCATTTTGTTCTGTTTGCCTTCTAAGAAATAAATTGCAGAAAAAAAAGAAAGTGCCTGATGTATATTGTAAGATCGTGTGAGGGAGCTCCTGTTTGGGGTGACCCTTCAGCTGGCATTTGGGCTGGGTGACTCCTTTTGGGGGGCACCCCTGCACCAAAGGTGTTGAGCAGGTCCCTGGCCTCCGCCTGTCGCTGTGACGGTGTCCCCCTCTGCTGGGCCCTGGTGGGAGGAGTCCTGGGGGAGGTGAGGAAGTGTGCGCTCTGTCTTGTGCAGCATCCCCGGCTTCAGCGGCAGCGAGGACTGTGCCGCGCTGGAGCAGCTTCTCGAGGGCTACGACCAGCAGGACCAGGACCAGGTGTCGGAGGTCTGCAACTCGCCGCTCTTCAAGTACATGGACAATGACGTGAGTGCTGGGGCCGGCACTCTGCTCACCTCAGGAGTGGTGGTTCCCCATGGACCTGAGAGATTTTCACCTCAAACTGTACTTAGAACCAGCTGATTCCATTGACTTCCTCCATGGTGCAGGACGCCCAGATTTCAACCACATGATTCTGCAGCCCTTTACTGACTCCTTAGCTATGTTGGCCACAGCATGGTTTAATTTTTTAAATTGGTTTACTTATTTTATAGTTTTGGGGGTTAAACCCAGGGCTTTGCCACTAAGCTGCATCCCAAGTCCTGTTACATTTTTTATTTTGAGACAGGGTTTCACTAAGTTGCCCAGGCTGGTCTTGAACATTGTGATCCTCTTGCCTCAGCTTCCCAGAGTGCTGGGATTGTAGCCATGCGCTACCACCCCTGGCAGAGGGTGGCATATTTTTAAGTTTATCCTCATCTCTTGTCCTGTCCTTTGATCTGTTACCCTCTGAAGGCATTTAGTTAATGAGTTGCTTTTCTCCAGGCTTCTTGTCTGAAGGAGGCCAGGGTGTGGTCTCTGCAGGTCCTCAGACCTGTGCGGTGCCACTTGTGTGACGGCTGCTGGGTGGCAGAGGCTGTTGGTGGTGCCCAAGCCCTAGCTGACTCGTCTGTAGTGTAGAGCTCCCGGCATCAGTTACGATGGAGCATCACAAAGGACCCTCCAGCCGGTGTGAGAGAGGGACTCCCAGGGTCCCCACTACTTGTGAGCCTCGGCCAGTCTTCTCTCTGTCTTCTTTCTCACTAACTTTGTGAGCAGAGTCCTATCATAGTATCAGGGCGACCTCAGATTGTCCATTTGTTACAAAAATACATGTAGAGAAACTTGTTTCTATATAAATTCTTAGTTACGCTTTTGTAACTCTGTATAGATTTTTAACAGTTTGCCCGAGACTTCTGTGTGGTTCACTCAGATGAGTTTTACTTCCTGGGGCCCAGAAGTGTGACTTAGAATGCCCAGTCATCTTGGCCCCGAGTGTGCCTTCGCATTGCAGTTGTGAAGCGGCCGGTGGCAGTGTGCTGTTTTCCAGTCAAGGGCCCTGGAGGTGTTTGTGAAGGTAGAGGGCGGGGCTCTGTAGTTAATCCTGCAGCACTGAGTCCGAGGTCAGTTTCTGTTCTCCAGCTCACAGCCTGTCCTGTCTGACAGGCGAGCAGCTGGCCCTGCGTTTGGGGGTGCTGCACATAGAAGTCATGTGGCAGGGCTCCTCGTGCCGAGCTCATGGCCCTTCTTACATGTCATTGACAGTATGCCAAACTGGGCCTGAGCTTGGTGGTCCCAGGGGGAGGAGTCAAGAAGAAGTCGCCAGCAGCGCCCCAGGCCAAGCCAGACAGCAGCGGCACCTCAGCAGCCCCCGAGGAGGAGGAAGACGAATATTCAGGAGGACTGTGCTAGTATTTTGCTTGCAAAAAGAAAAGGAAAAAGAAAGAGAAGACTTTGACATACCATGTTCATGGACCTGGAACTCGCTGAAAGTCATACTTCCTTAAGGTCATGATTTTGAATACTGATAAAGAGGATTCTTAGTTACCATTTCCCAAATCAGCCATTCTGTCTACTACTGGGAAGCATTATTTTTTCCCTTTCCATTGTAAGAACAGGAATTAGCAGAAAATGTGCTGTCACATTTTAATACTGTTGATTTTTAAATTTACAAGCCAGATTTGAGACAGATCATAGCCTAAGCAAAAGGGCTGGTAGGTGTTGGTACTCTTCTTGTGCTCCTGTGATTTATTGTATGAGGATTTTCTTTGTGTTTTATTTAGTGTTGCTGCTAAAAGTGAAGTTTCTTCTTCACACAGAAGAATTATTATTTTAAGAACTTACCTTGTTTTGAAAAGAAAATTTAGCCCCCATAAAACTAGGTGAATTTAAATTTTAAATCTTTTCAGAGACAAGATCCAGACTGAAAAAGTTTTGAGACTTACGGTGTTTAGCCCAATAAAAGATGCATATAAGCTTTTATATGCTGATGTACAAACTTTTGAAGGCATTCTCTTAAGACAGTTCTGCTGTTTCCAGTATCCTCCGTGGTGTGGGAGACTCTGGCATCTAAAAAGATGCAGTGACTGTCCTGAGACTACTCGGCTCTGACCATAGGAACCCGTGTCCTGCGCACACTGAGGAGGAGGCCGTGTCCATCATCTAAGGAGAACGCGTCTCCTCTAGAGAAGAGTTGGCAGCAAGACCATTCCTGAACATGGAAACAGCATGCTACAGAGGTTTGGCTGGAAGGGGAGATTGTTTTTGAGAGACGTGTAAAACTCTGGGCTGACGGTATTCTCGTACTTAGTCGTTTTCTGATACGTTATTTTTGAAGCATTCCTTTGCACTCTGTGGCTTAGACCTGCCTCGTCAGCTGTCACCCAGAAAGGGGCTGGGACGGCAGCTGTGTGCTCCCTGCAGGCCCTGCCACCAAGGCAGTGTCCTCTCCACTCAGGCCTGTCCCTTTAGACACCCGCTTTGTTCTGCTGGGCACCCTGAGATGCTCAGAAGGGTGGGTGATGTTAGTGGGGCTCTGCTGAGGCCGCCTGCAGTCGCTCGCAGGGCTCCTGCTTCCCTCGCACCGCTCCGCAGGTTGCCCTTACAGCTCACTTCTGTTCACGTGCTGAGATGGCGAACGGTCTGCGTACAGCCGCCCAAGCATTTTTATTTAAGGAGACACCGAGCTTTCCAGGATTCCCTTACTGCTGCATGTACCCTCAGGTCCAGTTAGAAACTTTGGGACTCTCCTACTGAGGCTCCTTTGAGCAAGCTGGTAACCCGTGCGAGCAGGTTGGCGGTGCTCGCAGACGCCTGGGCCGTCCCTTCACAGAGCATATGGCTCAGTACAGCCGGTGGGGCCGGGGAGCGCTGGGTTTGACACTGAAGACCAAGGGGTTGATTGCAGGCCACAGTGGACGCCCCTCACCCACGCTGCTCCTTCTGGCTGGGCGCCGCCTTCCAGAGTGTGCTTCCATGTCAGGGCTGTCCTGGTGTCTACATAGCTTTGCTCCATACCTGCACATTTTGTTTCTCCATCTGGATAGGTCTGTCGTCCTGAGGGCATAGTCAGAAAACGATGTTTACAAGAGTAGTTGTTTTCTAGAACTCGAGTGTCCACACTTACCAAAATGAAAGTGCATGAGTATGTTCAGATCTAGTGTCAGCGTCCTGTGTAGTAAGTAGTATACAAAGCGCATTTAATATATTGAATTTATTTGTACATATGCAGAGTATGGTATTTGTGTATGGAATCTATGCTCTATTCCTATTTTTTTCCAGCTCTTTGACATTAAATGTGTTGTTACAGAAATAGATTATTGCTTCTATAAGGAAGATAATTATGAAAATAAAACCTGAAACTAAATAAATACGGTCTTTATTTTATTTGCTTGTTCATTTCCCTTTTTTTCAAGGACAGTGTCTTACTTGCATGATCTTTTCTCTTCAGTTGTATTTTCTGCTTTGACTGTGGGAGTCAGGTGCCTTGAGAGTTGGATGGTTTGAGCTCTGTAAGATACCGGTTACTCACTGAAGCAGCTGTGAAGCCCACCACACAGTGCAGTGTGTTGAAACGTCTTCCGAGAAAGCAGCTTTTCACTGGGCTGAGGGGGTAGAATCGTGTGAAACTGAGGAAACTAACATGAATGCGTTGACTGCAGTTACCACGGACTTACCTGCAGCTGTCCTGTGCTTAATTAGACCCTTACTGATGCTTACTGTGCGGCGTTATCCACAGAGTAGAATCTGATGGTGTGAGCCGATGCCTAGGCTTAGGAGAAGTTGTAATATTCCAGAAATAGCCAGAAATAGTCCAGGAAGAGTGTCTCCTAGACCCAGTGTGGGTGTGGCGTGTGTTCATGACTTGAGATTGTTCTGGGAATGTGGGGCCTGCCCCAGCGCTCGCAGCAGGACAGAGGGGTTGGGCTCCTGCCTCCACCCAGCCAGTGTCTTATGGCGGCTCCTGCGGTAAAAGGCTTGACACTGACTTCAGTCAGATGAGTTCAGGACATTAAAAAGGCTTGAAGAAAAGTAGACTGAGAGAAACACCAGTTTTGGAAAAGGAGCATGAACCTTCCATCCAAGGATGCATGTGTTAGCTATGTAAGTATATGTGGAAAGAACTCACTTCGCTTCTAGTCAGCTTGTGAAAAATCAGTATGGTTCCTTAGAGAATTAGGTGTGTGAACAAACTGGGTTAATTATTCCCTGTGGAGCTTAACGCGAGAACACTTTACATTTGTACATTTTCTTATAACTAATTCTCCCAAATCTTTTTAAGAGGCCTAATTTGTGGTAAGAGGGCCTTAAATTTCAAAAACTTCGTAAGCACTTAACTCTTACAAGGCTTAACATATCCAACATGCACATATGGTAAGTTGAGCTTTCAAATCTTCAGATACTGTGGGTGGGTTTAAATTCTCAATCACAAATATTCAAGATGAAAATCAGTGGGGCATGTCGAATTTCTGAGTGTTTCAAGAACCGTAGGTATAAACAGGCACAGACTACCAAGGTGATCATAAAGCTCATTCCTAAAACTAGGAAGTGTTACCTCTGATACACTCACTCCTGTTCTGCCCATGGCAAGTCGGGTAACGCCAAGTAAGTGGACCAGGTGCTGCTGGTCATGGTTTTGAAAGTCCCTGGACCCCGGGGGAAGCACAGTAACTGCTGAGGAACGATTCTCACCTCCAGCTTGGCCAGGCTCCCTTCCCGTCCTATGCCAGAGAGGACACATTGTTCATGCTGTTCACCTTGGCATCTTAGTCTCCTCTGGCAGGGTCTGCACATATATTTGGTGATCCACTTGGATGGGTAAGTTCTATGCCAAGGTAGAAGCGTGTGTCTTTCCCCACGTGAAATGTTTATTGCCCAGTTGGTTTTTGCACATACGCAGATTCTGTGCATTTGAGCCATACTGTAGTCAAATTGATAAACTCATAATTCAGCCTTCAGACACTGGATCCATCACCTAATGAAACAACTGCAGTCAGCATGAGTTGGTTTCTGGGAGGCATGACCTCAAACACAGCTGCCCAGCCTCTGGCTGACTGGTTTAGAACAAGCTGCAGCTCCTGAGCACCACGTGCCCTCACCGCCTGTAGGGCAGCGCTGGCTGGCTCCAAGGCAGGGTGGCACTGCAGAGGGACGTCGCAGAGGAGAAACAGTCCATGGCAGGCAGAAGACAGAAGCCAGCAGGCACCACGCAACAAGCAACAAGCCCCTTTCTGTCCCTTCCATTGTATCCAGGCTACCCGCTTTTACACCCACAAGCCTAGCATCTCACCATGAATCAACCCCAGCATCACACCCTAGATCCAGTTGGCTCTGAAAGGCCCCACGTATGACTGCATGAGGCTTTGGGGGGACCTCTAGACACAGCCGTAACATCGTCCAGGTTAATTCGTATGTATGAATGTGAATTGAGTCCTCGGGCGGGGACCTGGTGAGGTGGGCTGACTTCCCAGCTCGGAGGTGTGCGCCGCTCCTGCTGGGCTTCGAGTCCCAGGATGCCTGACGCCAGGCTAGAGCGTGGAGATGACGAGCAGCGCCTGTCCTTCTGACTGCCTTCCTCCCTCCCTCTCTGTGCCTTATACTTAAGTCTCTCCTGAAGCCCAACCCGGGTCAGAAACGGCCGCAGTAATCCAAGACATGAGGCAGTGCTCCTGGGTGTCGTACACTGAAGCTTTCGGTCCCAGGATTCGGATATAATCTTTATCCACTAGTTGAGAAACTTCGTTTTTATCCTGTGCTTAAGAATATAAATGTAAACTAAGGCACCCTTCATGGTACATTTTTTGAAAATATCTTTTTAGTTTTAACTGTGCTGAAACACAACACCACACTGTCCGCACCCCAGGTCAGTTCCTGGCGGATCCCTTGCCAGACAGCTACCACTGCCCAGTGTGGGGTCGGTGGAACTCGTCTGCCAGCTGTTTTGAAATAGTCCGTTAATGGCTTTCAGCCCAGTCACCTGTGCACTGCACAGCATCGGAAGTTCTTCCTGCTGCCGGCTGTGCCCTGAGCGAGCATCCACCCTCCTCCCCACGTTCACGCCCTGGAAAATACTCCAGCTGCACTGGAGGAATCGTGTGAGCCTGCCACGGCCGTGCAGGCAGCGCTGAGATGCCAGGCTGTAGTCTTGCTTCACAGGGAGACACAGCTGGCGAGGGGGGGCGGGACTCCCGTGGCAGCCAAGGAGAGGCCCCGGTCAGTGCTCTGCTCCCCGGGCGCCCCCGCAGGAGCATGGAGTTGCTCAAACAACCGGACCCCCTGGGCAGCAGGGGTGCCGCGGGCGGGATTGGTGGAGCCAGGCTGGCTCAGTCCCCTTGGTGGGTGTGGCCTCTCCCGCCAGCTCCCCTGCATTCTCCCGGACCAGCCCCGCCCACTCCTGTGTGGGTCGCTGGTTACGGGGCCCTCGCTGCTTCCAGCTCCACAGCCCTTCCATCACGGCCACATTTTCAGGAGCTGGAAGTTTTGAGACACCTCTGAAAGGGTGCTGCGGCTGCTTCCCGCCTCCAGGGTGGGCCTGGCCCCAGCACGGCGGGCTGTCCCAGGCTCCACTGACTGCAGCATGCCCTCGCTCAGGTCCACTTCAAGGGCAGGAGTGTCACGGCCACTTTAGGTCTACAGCTCAGGGCTGCTGTTCCCGGCTGACCACGTGAAAGGAGGCCGCTCACTTGGGTAAAAGTGAAAAGGGAGTTACTCAGAGCCAGCTCTGAGGAGACGGAGGAGCCCGCTGGCTCCAAGGGCCGTCTCCGTGCACAGATGGCAAGGGTGCCCTACGGAAGGGCAGGGGCAAGCACACGGACACAGACCCCTTTCTGGTGCAAAGTAAGGGCTCCAGTCCGGGGCCAGAAGCTGCATGTGGGTCCTTTCGCCTGGGCTGAGGGGAAGAGGAGGAAGGTATTTCGCCCTAGGTGTGAGGAAGCCGCTTATCCCTAAAGGAAAAAATCTGACTTTAAAGCTTGGTTTGGGGTGCCGGAGATGCAGCGGAGCGTCAGTGCTGGACGCAGAGCAGGGCCCACGGGAAGCTGCAGGGCCAACGGAGGAAGGAGGCGGTGTCCGGGCTCCCGGGCTGGCCCTCTCTGAGCCCCTGTGGCCTGCTGCCTCTGTTCAAGTTTCCCTGTCCAAGCGTGGTGCCGCACGCTGTAATCTCAGCACTTGAGAAGCTGAGGCAGGAAGATCACTGCGCGCTGGAGACCAGCCTGGGCTACACAGAGTTCATGGTCAGCCCGAACAGCACGGTGAGACCCGCTCTCATCTCTGTCTCCCAGATTTCCTTGCCTGTCCCCGCGTCCTCAGGTACAGGGCACACTTGGCTTGGTCCCTCTGGGAGGCCCCATGAAGTGTCCCCTGCCCACAGTACCCACGCCGGGCCTGACAGCCACCTGAGCAGGGCTGGCAGATGGGACAAGGCCCGGGCAGGACGGAGTGGGGAGAAGGCGGCAGAGGGAAGCCGTGGGCGGGGCACGCACACCGCAGCGCATTCATCCTCCCTTCTCCTTTTTTAAATGTTTATTTTCACTGATGCCTGGGTGCAGCCGTGACGATGGCGTTCACCGTGGGGGTGGCCCACGTGCACCACGCACCCTTACCCTCTGGACGCCCCCTCCCCTCCCCTCTGTCCCTCCAGCCCGTCCCCTTTGCAGAATTAAAATCGCCCTCCTTCTTCTCTGAAAGGGATCTGGACAAAGGATTCTCAGGGCTCCAGGCCAGGGTTCCTCGCGCCACCAGGTGGCGCTGCGGGACAGGTGTGCAGTCCGGCTGTCTCCTTGGAGACCGAGGGAGCCCGGCTGGGAGCTCGGGCGGGCGACGTCCTGGCCGCAGCTGGAGCCGGGCTGAGCTCGGCCTGACCGGCCCCACCTGCGGGGGGAGGTCGGGCTATCGGTGCCCGGTGCTGAGCTCGCCGGTCCAGGCACACTGCCCCGGTCCCCAGACGCCTGTGCAGCCGCTCTTTGACGGCTGGTGCAGTCACCTCGAGTGAGGCGGTGGAGGCCCTAGCTCCTTCCATGCCTTAATCACTGGGTGCCCACGTGTGCCCCAGAGGCAGGGGCACAGGGGCAGCTCCCCGAGGACAGGCGGCTTGGGCTGGAGGCCCGTGCCTGTCTTGCTCACCACATTCCTCGGCTGCAAAGGGGACACCGGTGCCTCTGGGCTGTGGGGAAGGTCAGCCGGCCAGTGGGTGCGTGCTCAGCTGTGCCCGGGCCTGGCAGCGCGTCTTTCTCCGGGGCCCAGCTGGGCGCAGCCTCCCCGGGCCGGGCCCTGCAGCCACGTGTGCGCGCCCTGCGTGTGCCCGGCCGTTCCCACAGCTCGCGGGGAGTTGCTGCGTGTGTCCCGAAGGAGGCAGAGTTGGAGCAGGGCAGCGCCTTGGCCCCGCCCGG